ACAGCTTCAACTAGTAGGTATACCAACCAAAGGACTTCACAGCTCAATGTTTGTTTCATGAGTTAGACATCCAAGGTGGGAATGGATGATATCTATTCCTCAGCTTAAGGGAGAGTGTTGAAGGAATGGTCTTGATTCAAGGAATATTTGTGTAGTTAAGGGATATTTTCGTAATCTCTTTTAAGTGAGGAAAATGTTAGCTAATATCTAAGGATTGATTCTAGAGATTTATTTGTATATATTATCGCATAAAATGATCATGTATCTCTAAAAATATATGAAGAATTGGGAGGAAGATAGTTTATACTTGCCACATAATCCACAACCTGTTCCATGCTACAGTACTATTTGAAGGTTCGAATTTGAACTTAAGGACCACAGCAACGGTGCAGACTGGGTATACTCTGTCCGTGGTTGCTCCAGCTGAAATTTTGACAAATGTTCCTTTCCCAGCAAAAGGATATAACTTCTCTGTGAATTGCAGGTTTGTAGATTTGTATTCATGTGAATATAAGACATTAGATTTCACTGTCACTGAATTTTGGAAATATCTTTTGGTCAGTTGTGTAATAATTTTCAGTACCATATGTAATGACTCTTTCATATTGAATTCTTTTGAGGTTGTAATTCGGTGATTATATTCCTTCACCAACTAATTTGACAACAATATATTTTGGGCAAATTTACCTAGTTAGCTAATGAAGTTTCCAAGAATTTTAAATATAGTTCAGAAAAGTAGTTTTCCATTAGTAATAGTAAAGGAAAGTTGGTGAGATTGTTTTTCTTTTTCTTTTATTAATTTTATAATATTTTCTGATCTGGTTATAAATTACAATTGATTGATTATATATTTTCTTGTTGTATACGTAGTAAATTTATTAATTTACTTGAAGCTAATAATTTGTTAGGGTATAAAGTTTTTTTTTTTTTTCTTAGGTCAATTAAGGTTTTAAGTTTGGGGATTGAGGAACCTTTTCATTGAAAAATATCATGGAAAACTGTTGAAATGTTAAGTTTTCTTCTGACCTTTTTCTTTTATTACAGTGGCAAACATGGAACTCTTCTAAATGATAAGAGAGTCTTGCACGACTGTAGAGTAGACCCTCTCTTTGTTGGGTATGTTTCGATATTTCTTCCCCACCATCAATATTCTTGAATTGAGTAATTGACTGTTCATTCATTTTCTTTTTATGGATTAAAGGTATGCAAAGCCATGGTTGGATCTTGACAACGACAATTTGTATTGCCTCTTTTTTCCTTACTCACCGGAGCACTTGGCACATTCAGCCCCCAAGTCGAAGGCCATGAGACCAGATATATCTGTTACTATTTATGCTTCATCTCGAGAAGGCAGCCAAATTTCTGGATCTGCTTCTGCACTTTTTATTGGAGGCTTCTCTGTTATGGAGATGGGCAAGGTAATTCAATCATTAATAAACACCTGCATTGTATTTATCAGGAAACTGAACCTGTATAATTTTATCCGGATGTTTCTTCCAGTCACAAATTGATGTACAGCTCGTAACTATGGGCATCAACATAAGAAATTAGTCATTTAAGTTCTTTTCTTTCTTTCCTAGAACTGATGATTTTGGATAATGTGACAGTTTTTTGTCAATTTTAGCTTTTTTAAATCATTTGCTATCTCCATGAGAAGTTATTTTTAAAACTCTTTTTCAAAATAATAATGGTAATTTCCAATAGTTCAACAAAGCTCACCAAATCCTTTACATATGTTCCTTCTTCGTAAAATTAGTTTGTATTCCAAGAAAATTTGGTGTGTGATCTTATCAAATATTATCTATTTTCAAATTTCAGAGTGCAACGCAATTGATTCTGACTCCAGACTCGAACAAGACTGTTATAACTATCTTGGGGAATACAGGTAAGCTAACAACTTTATACATATTGTAAGAGAGAATTTGTAATATATTATTAGATATGCCAAATTCTATGTTACACTATGTTTTATAAACTTGAGGGAATCTCTAATATGCTTTATACTGTTATGGAGGATTCTGTTTCATACGAAAAAATAATTATTATATTATGTTTTGAAATGAAATTTATCAGTAGATCTGCCAAATTCTGTGTACAACTCCTCAGATAAACCTGAGAGTGTCTCTTCTCTCTATGGTTCAATTAAAGTTCTGGAGGACTCTATTTTCTTTTAAAAGATAATAATTATATCTCATTAATTGAACGCATGGCCAATTCGCTGTGTTTTCTTGTCACCATGGAGGTCAAAATGTTTGAGCTTGCTAGTCGCTGTTAGTTACTATCCAAAAAGATAATGCTTTCATATGGTTCAATAAAGTTGTTTAAAGACTAACTTCTTCCTTTACTTTTTCTTCTTGACGTAGCCTATGGATATATTAGACCAGTTTTATGGTTGCTTAAGATTGTACAGGCATAAATATTTTGCACCATAAGTTACTACAATGAATTTGGAAAAGTTTATGGGGGGTTTTCTTGGAAAACGAGAGGGTTTTTTGTAACCGTCCAAGCCCACCACTAATAGATATAGTCTTCTTTGAGCTTTCCTATTAAGGGCTTCCCCTCAAGGTTTTCAAACGCGTCTGCTAGAGAGAGGTTTTCACATCTTTATAAGGAATGTTTTGTTCCTCTCTCCAACCGATGTGGGATCTCACACTTTTGCTGTTGTTTCAGTATACGGCATCATAATTAGGAAAATTCTCTTATTGACAACTACTATAAGAATATAGCGTCGTATTATTGCTGAAACCTTTTCCCGGCTTCCATTTAGCATGTCTGTTGACTTGTTACTGCCAGCAACACTTCATTAATTCTATAGCAGATAACTTCCAGTCCACAATGGCCCATCTCATCCCATCCCTGGGCCTGTAGTATTAAAACTATTACTTTATGAAGGTATCTTGTGTGTATTTTACAATTGATTGTTGCTGATGATATTTGCTTTTACACTATTATAGACGTTGAACTTTACTGCCATGAACGGGATTTGGTCATCGTTGGTCCTATTTCTAAAGAAGATTCTGGGGTTGGTGGTCATTCAGAGTATGAAGTAAGTTTGACCCTACTTAATATTTACTCATAATCCAATCAATTTGTTTATGCCCGTATATGAAGCAAGTTCTGCCCTTATTTCTTTAAACAATCTATACTCAGGTGAAAGCAATGGGAACGAAGAGATTCAAAGACAAGATTATTATCACATTAGCCGCCAACGGTAAGCTGTTTTTATGCTATTCGTAAAACTATTCCTTCATCATTAATATCACCAAATTGAGATGCATGATTTTGGCGGTGGTATGTGTATGTTGCAGGCCAAAGAACAGAAATTGATGTCTTCTATGAACCCAGAGAAAAAGAAGTATCAGTAGCTGCCTTTGGTACAACGACCATTTGGGCTACAATACTTGGCTCTCTGTTCTTGCTCATATTAACTATTGCTTTATTTATTTGTTTCCTGGACAAGCCTAACAGAGCTCAGCCCTCTCAGCCCTCTCGTCCTGCCACTACTCATACTCCAACTATTACAGCACCCGTCACGCCCGATCGCAGCAGCCCTGTTCTTTCGAATGAACAGTCTCCTCGAACACCACAACCATTTGTAGACTATGTAAGACAAACAATTGACGAGACTCCATATTACAAACGTGAGGGAAGACGGAGATTCAACGTGCAAAATACCTTCTAGTTTTGTGTCTGCTGTCGAACTTATTCCAACCCATTCAACAGGCATTCTTGTTACTATGGCTCGAAGAAGATCTGAACCTCTTGGCTGTTTGGATCCCACTTTTTATTGGGCTTCATTTTCGCACTTTTCTTTGGAGGAGAGGTTCAAGTTTTAACATGCAAGTCCCAGATTTTGGAATTGTTCTTATGTTTGATTAAAATTATGGGATTTGCAATGTTTTCCAACTCTAAATCATTGTCAAAGGAGTAATATGTTAGAGATTAGTATCATGCTAGAGGATGATTGAATTGTACTTAGAATCAGGCTTTCTTAAGTGATTGTTAAGACTTCTGTGCTCTTTGATTTGGGTCTTTGTCTGGACTTTGGAACAATGGCCCTGAACCATTGGGAACATTGTATTACAAAATTTTTAAAGCTAGTTGGGTTATTGATCAAACAGACTCGATTGTTGTAGGAGTCTCTGACGTAGAATCTCTCATGAATAGAAGTTTACTGACTGACCTGACTCTTCAATCGATGATGTACTAACCCTTTACGTACGGGAATTAGGGCCTTTCTTCGGGGTCGGGCCCTTATTCCATAATAGATTAATAATAATAAGGAAAAAGTTCGTGTTTATTACTATTTTAGTAATTTATTTCCATTTGATCCTGTGTTTTAAAAAAAATCAATTTACTCTGTGTTTTGACATTTTCCAATATACCCTCATTGTAGATAGAACAATGAAAAAAGGGTATTTTTGAAACTAAATAAAGGTTTTATAAAAAAGTAAAAGAGGTTTTATAAACACTTTTTTTTATTTATTTAAATTTTGAAAACGGAAACAATTTAAAAAAAAGTTTATATGGTCACAAATTAGTTTAATTTTAACTAAATTATGTCGTGTAACAAATTTTTTAACTCTTAATAAATATGTCTCACATTATACCATATGAATTCAAAAGAGAACTATTAAAATTTATTAACAAAGGGCTTATTTGTTTGTATATCATAATATTACTATATTTAGATACATAAACGCGTGTTTAAATATGTTAACAAAATAATAATGAATGATTAATTAACGGGTTAACCATCAAATAATATTAAATTATAAATTTAGTAAATGTTATAAATTTATGTAACAGGTCCTTATACTTTAAATTTAAAATTATTTAGTAGGTCTTAATTTTAAAAATATAGAATAAAGTCAAAAATAAAAAAATTAATTTTTGAAATTGAAAATTTAATGTATCATCACTGCCGGTTGTATGGGATAAAAGTAAGCCAGGGCGCAGCAGATTGAAAACCAAGATATTTATTGCATTGGTCCAATGAATTAAGAGGCAGGTCTGGAGGTTGTGGCCAATTGCGAATTCTAGGGTTTAAGGGCGCCATTTTTCCGAACTCGGCGGTGCGAACCAACATCAGCAACGCATGTTCTCTAGGGCTTAGCCAATTCCCTCGTTCCCTTGTCTTTACCCTCTCTCTTCTTGTTCCTCTGCTCCGTTAATGTCGGAAAACTCCATGGATTCCAAGGGGAATGATGCTGCCACTAATGGCGAACATGAGGACGCCAAGCCCTTGAACCACAAAGACGATGGAAGTAGACATGATCCTCCCTCTCATGGCGACGGAGCGAGTGCGGGGTAAGCTTTCTTGCTCTGTAATACTCCAAGCGAATCTCTGGGTACTCGGTCGATATTTTCTGGTGTGGGCATGGTATTTTGTGGTTATGATGTGTTGGACGATTTTGTTTTGTTTTATGCTTCTTGATCCGTTTATATGGTCGTTTGGGTGCTGTTGTAGGAAAATCTTCGTTGGAGGTTTACCGCGGGAAACGACTTCTGGTTAGTTTTTTATACTTCGTCTTGTGTGGTGTCAGGCTTCTTGCTACGCAATCACTGTGTTGTTGTTGTTGATTTCAATTGATTATATGCAGCACAATTTGTTAAACATTTTGGTGATTATGGAGAAATTACGGACTCTGTTATAATGAAGGACCGGAAGACTGGACATCCCCGCGGATTCGGGTTTGTGACTTATGCTGATCCCTCTGTGGTAGATAAAGTCATTGAGGACACACATATTATTAATGGGAAACAAGTAGGCCTATGTTTAGTGTTGAATTTGAGTTAGACATTAGGTTTCAATGATTTTATGCTCAAACTTTGACTTAATTTTTAGGTGGAAATCAAGCGTACAATACCCAAAGGATCTTCCAGCTCTCGTGATTTCAAGACCAAGAAGATTTTTGTGGGTGGAATTCCTACGTCTGTAGACGAAGGTAGCTTATTGATTACACCATTGCTTTGTTTAGATGGTACTAAGAGGAATAGAGTACTCACTTTTAAGTTTCAAGCAGATGAGTTCAGGGACTTTTTTATGCAATATGGTGAGGTTAAGGAACACCAGATTATGCGGGACCACTCCACTAGTCGGTCTCGTGGGTTTGGTTTTATTACATTTGAGACAGAGCAAGCAGTTGATGATCTCTTGGCAAATGGAAACAGACTTGAGTTGGCAGGCAGTCAGGTCAGCAAAGTTCTATCCCGGCTGCGATAGTCTAACATGTCCTCTCTCTATCTTTAGTAGATTTTGATTTATCTACACAGAATCTTCTTTCTATTATCCAATTCGCTAGGTCCCTATTGTGGGTTTTTTTATCATTTGTTTCAATTCTCTTTGAGAAATAGATGGAACTTCTTCCTCCTCATGTGGTTGCACAACTTTAGTATTTCTCGGATTTGCACCATGAACCTTTGTTAGCAACACAACCTTTGTAGCACTACGAACATTTGTTGCACAACTTCTTCCTCCTCACTATGAACCTTTGTTATGCCGTACCAACATCTCCATTGCCACTATATCCTGAATTATTTTTGTTATTACCAAGGCACAAGCATCTTCAATTGAGAAGTCTATACAGAGTAATGATGGGGCCTGTAGGCTCCATTTTTTTAACTTATTTGCGTCCATGGGTTCATTTGTTGTTACAGTTGTTCAGGGATGATCTTGATTGAAGTTTGAAAAGTTCTAAATCTTTAAATCTATTTTGCAAAATGTTTTTGGAGTAAGTAAATTAGTGGTTATTGAAAATAATTTTTTTGTTTTTTTGGAAGCAATGCTTGATATTGTTTGATTATTTGTCCTGTTTATGAACTCAAATATTAAAACATAGGATAGAAAATGATTGGAATCAAATTTTGAACATTTTCAAAATTAAACCTCACCTAAACAACAGAAAGCCGTCTTTTATTGCATGCTTATTCAAATTCAGATAAATGTTGAAACCAAAATTCATTAAGTGAACTGCATTTAAGGCTTTTTATAGCTCCTACTATGATTTTTTTATTGTATCAGTCACATGTACAACATAAGAATGGAGATTATTTACTCAACATATTCATCTATTGAGTCATTTTAACAATTTGAGGTTTGTGTGTCTTTGTTCTAAAGGTGGAGATCAAGAAGGCAGAGCCAAAAAAGTCTAATCCACCTCCACCCCCTTCTAAAAGATACCATGATTCAAGGCCAAGTTACAGTGGTACCTATGGGGATGCATATGGGGAGTTTGGAGGTGGTGGGTATGGTGGTGGTTTTAGGGCTGGTGGACCGTATGGTGCTCGAGGTGGTGGATATGGTGGATATGGTGGAAATGATTTTAGTGGTTATGGAATGTATGGTACTGGTGGCATTGGAGCTTACAGAGAAGACCCCTCTATGGGGTACTCTGCTCGTTATGGAGCAGGCTTCAGTAGAGGTTATGATTTTAGAGGTGGTTATGGTGGACCTGACGAGAGTTATGGTGCATATAACAGCAGTGCTGCTCCTAATACTGGTGGGTATGCAGGTAGCTATGATATGGGCATTGGCACTGGATACCCTTCCGGTGGTAGAGGCTCCTTTTATGGAAGTAGAGGAGGAGGCGGAGGAGGAGGTGGTGGTGGAGGAGGAGGATATGATGGTGCAGGGAGTGCTCCAAGTGGTCGATATCATCCGTACGGACGGTAGTAACTAGTGGTGGGGAACCTTTGTTAATTGATGTGCTACCAGGACGGCAATGCTGATAAGTTCCCGGTCCTCAAAATTATGATAAATATGTGTGCCTCTTACCGTCACAAGATTCCTGCCATGTTCATCATGATCACAATTTTCAGAGATTTAGAATTTGACTGTACAATTGATTGTGACTAACTTGCTGGAGATTGTGCTAAGATTATGTATCACCCATATATGCCATTAATTTCTTCATTTTGCTATCAACATTTACGTTGTTTTATTGACATGGTTATTTTGAAGAATGTTTAATGAATTGGAATTTTTCGGTTTCCTTCTATTGCATGGTTGTTCTGAAAATTCTTTTTGACACCACCAATGGCATAAAAAAGGTAAATCATGATACTATGAAATAGCGATAAAGGTCTTGACAGTGAGCTCTAGGAAGTCATGGAACTCAGAAGTTGCCAGTTGTGTTATGTTTGCACTTGCAACTCCTAGTAGAAGATGGTATGATAAATGCAATCCCTCTCTGAAGACGTTACCATCGTTCTGCTGTCGAAAAACTTCAATTGCTCGTCAATGTTTCCCTGTAAGTCTCATCTTGTCCACTAAATTTTTTACTAATTGATTGCCACTCCTTTCTACACTAGAATGATTGTGAAAATTTATTGCTTTTTTGTTTGATGTAATTGCTGTAAATTGGCTTAAGGAGCATCAAGAATGTGGGTTAGTAACTGGAATGCTATCTCTTGATTGAATTGTGAGTTTTAGGAATCTTGTTTGATGTGATGTCTCCACAGTTTGGGCCTTGGGGTGGGTGCAGACCTTTTTGTTGAAAAAAATATCTTAGTTACTTTTTTAAGGATGTGTTGAATGGGTGACCCAATGTATAGGATAATTTGCCTATGTAAAAAAGTAAGGACCCAGTGTAGGCAAGTATTCACCATCTTAAACCTGAGTTTAATGGAGTATTCAGAAAGCTTATTAAGAAAATTATGTCGGGAGCTTGAATAGTGGATTACTTGTTCAAGTCATGGGTTTGAGAAGCCAAATAATGTGGTGAGGCAAACCTTTCCCTCGAACGTGATCTGGGCTTAGAAAATCAAGCCCGCCCTAGTTTAACCCATGTTCCAAATATCGCCCCAGATGTGACTGGATATTCTTTAATAATATGAGCATAGTTGGGGAAGGTTTTATGAACTTCGACATCTTCCTCATGAAAGTTGCATAACTTTAAAGTATTATAACACAGCTAATGCTTCAATGAGTATGGTTATTGTGCTTAACTTTGTTTCATTGAGTTGTTATTGAACTACAGTGGCTGTCCTCTCAGTTTTTAGTGAGTGTTTTTTATATAGCCACGAATTAAAGTTGAGGGATGCTTTATTAAGACATGCATCATAATGATCATGGGTGAATGGAGATCAACCAGAACGTTACAACCTCCAATAATTTCTTGTTTGGTGGTTCGACTTTTTCAATGATAACAAAGTAATGCTGAAGGATGATGAAATTGTAGGCCGTGTAATTGTTCGAGCTGTCTTATCCACTTTCAGGTTGTGAACATGGAGTTCGGACATTGCATTTTCAATTCTAAAAAGTAATGAATAGTCAAAAGAAAAGCTAGTTTGATAATCTCTACTTGGATTTAGATTTCAATGATTGAAATCTACTTTTTCAGATGTCTGTTGATTTGAGAAGTCAATTTCAGGTATAGTGCACATGATCCTGATATCTTTGGAAGTTTGAGTGCTTGTGGCAATACCCCCTCCTCAAATTCCTTGAACCAAGACCATACCATACCATACCATATTATGAGCTCATGGCTTATTTCATCCATATTTTTTGCCATATTTTTGTTTCTTGTACTATCACTGTGGAAGATGTATGGTATTATGGCTTGTTGCTGACTTCATGATATCTTCTTGACATATAATAATGTAGTTTTGTTGCGTTGGTTCTTCCCTGTTTTTGATGTCTCTCTCAATTTTTGTTTGTTTATTTGATGTTGTTTGTGCAGAATCCACCTGTAAATGACCACAAACAGAAACAGGTCAGTTCTTGAACTATCCATTCTGAATCTCCTCTTTTCTAGTTTAATCTTTTTGTTACCCATTTTTTGAATCATTGAACTCTTAGACACCTTGAAATCTTTGAATATATATATATACATGCATAGAACATGAACATTGTTGAAAGATAATAGGCAGACATTCTTTTGTTTAGATAATCTTGAATATTGAATCAGGTTGCCCTTGTTCCTTCACGATCGGAAGATCTAAAATGCTACGAAATGCAAACTTTAGGGATAAAATTATTGAGTTCGAAAACACTTTTTAGCTTTTTTTACTCGATTGGAGGCGGTTCAATTTCTTGATTTTCAATATGAAAATTAATGCACTCAGCTACGTTTAAATTGACCTACTTTCTTGTTTATTAAAGCTTTTCTTGTTTATTAAAGCTAATAATGGTCGATGATGATGATAAACCTATATGCTTTAATACTTATTTGAGTTAGTAGCAAATTTGACCATGCAAAGAGAAAGAAAGTCAATTTCTATCTAACTAAAAAGAAAGAATTATGCACTTTCCTCTATTAGGTAATTATTTATTGTTCCTTTAAACTTAGCATGTAGCTTTATTACAAGTTTAATATTTGACCCATCAAAATTTTAGTCTAATATATTAGATAACACTTTAATTATAAGCGTCAAAATTAACGGTTAAAGTTAACTTCAAATATTGGGATCTATCCACATTATCATCTTGCATTTTATAATAAAGCACGTACCCGTGTGGTCTCGATCCTTTTAAGACTTTTATCTTATTTTATAATTATGGAAAAAAAATTAATTAAAATTAGTTGAAATATAAATGGGTTGCTTGGGAGCTATACAAATAACAATACTGATAATTATAACTATATAATACTTAAACCTTCATATTTATTTACTCTAAAAATTAGATAATTTTTATTTTATATTTAGTGAAATAATGTTAAGTAAATCTAATTGAAATCAATAAAAATGTGAATAATTATTTTAATTTCGAATTTATGTTTTCCAACAAAATAAATAAATAAATGATTGAATAATTATTTTAAAGTATTATTAATAAATATTATAATAAAGGGAAAAAAAGGGGGGAGAAATCCCACCATAAGGACTCCCCAACCACCCTATGGCCCTTCTCGCTTTTTTCACTGCCACTTTCAGGGACCCTCCAGCGTGGCACCCTGGGCCCACTTCCTTCTTCTTCGGGCGGGTTTATCAAAAGAAATTATTGCTATGTGGGCGCCTACTCTTAAAAGACGATTTTACCCCTGCCTCGTGGGACCCCACTTTCAAACAATTAATTTGTAATTTTTTTTATTTATTATTATATGTGGTTGAATTTCAAATTTTTAAATCTTAATTTTAACACTAAATTATAAATTCGTAGATTTATTAAAAAGTTGTTTAATTTCTCATAAATCATAAAAAAATTGATTTGGAATTTTTATTCCGAATGATTAATAACACTTAAATTATAAGTTGTATTTAATAAATTTTTAAATAAGTTTTACATATTTTTACCTTTTCAATTTTCTTCTAATATATTTATAAATTGAAAAAGTGTTTAAGTAATTTATTATAAATAAAATTAAAGGTTACTATAAAATTATTAAAGACGATATTGCCCTTAGGACGTGGGCCCCTTGAAACAATAATAATACCAACAAAAAAATTAAATAAGGGAAGTATTTATTAGTGGCTCATTAAAAAAATCAAGAGGTAAATAATATATATTTATTGGATTTGTTAGGGTGAAATGCACCGTATGGGATTACAGCCGTCCACGTGCTTGGTGGCTCTGTTCACGTGCGTGCATGTGACTTCCCGCCAAGGAGTTAATATTTATTATTAGTCTTAATTACTTTCCCCCTTCCCCCATCCCCATGTGATTATCATTAATCTTAACATTAATTTTTGAGTTTTGTTTTTAATTTACATATTACTTCTAAATCATCAAAATTAAGTTTAGTATTCAAATTAGTATTTATTGCATGGACGATAATGTCCTTTTACCCCCTTCTTCCAATTTTAACCCTAAAAATTTAATTTTTCCACTCATTTATTAGGGATTCAATTACGACATCAAATTAAGTTAATTTTACAGATATCAACTAAAATTCATCACTAGCGTTAGAAAAACGTCTTATTAATTTTAGGCTAACTTTATGATAAAATAAACTGATTCGTACCTAAAGAAGGATTCTCGAACTTTTTAAAGTTCATGTATAAAATGGACATAAATTAAAAAAAAAATAGTTGTACTTATTTTCGAGGGCTAAATAGATACAAACTTAAAAGTATAAGTACACTGTGACATTTATTATTTTTCTCTCGCAAGTTAGAAATGTATTAAATGTTACGCCAATAAACATGTCCAAATTTAGACATTTAATATTTTCACTAAATTAATTATTAAAAAATCTTAAAACTTTCAAAATTTTAAAAATTTGGATATCTTAGTATTAATTTTATCAATATCCTTTACGTTAAAAAAATATAATTATTTTTTTTAAGTTTAATTGAATTAATATACTTATGATATTTTTTAAACGGGTAACTAAAAATATTTTTTAAATAAAATATAAAATTCACTAGTAATTCAATTTTTTTTAGTAAAAATTTGAATAAATTAAAACATAACTAATTAAATGGACTATAAAATCTCTTTTATTGTACGTTATAAATAAATTTTTATTAAATAAATTATTAATCCTTATTATAAATTATAAATTATTAAAGGATAATATATTAATATTATAAATTATCACTAAATTTTAATAAAATTTACATATATTCATTTTATTTAAATGCCGTCAATAAATTAAATTAATATATTTAATTTTTCTATAATAATTGAATTTTTTACTTTATAATAATTATTATACATATAAAATAATGAAGGGTAAAAATGACACAAGGCAGCTTATTAAATAATTCATAATAATAATAAAATAAAATAGTAATTATAACACAATAATAATAATCTATTAATTAGGTAAATTCTACTAATTAGGTAAATCTAAAAGGTACATGACGTCAAAATTATATTTCAATTGATTTTTTAAATAATTATATATATTATTTGAGAATTATTAAAGAGTTATTGAGGAGGTGTTATTATTATTGGCCGGCATTATTAACTAACAATCATTTTCAATTTTGCCATTTCAAACCGATTTTTTTACTGATTATTAAATATTTAATTAAATTAAAAAATTATTTTGCCCCCACAACATAATTATATATATAAAAAATTATTGAAATTATTTATTTTAAAAAAATT